GTGAGGGTCTGGGTACAGGAGAGGATTTTGACCTGGGGGAGAGGTGTATGAGGGGGTGGTGACTGGGGCAGGGAGTGAGAACCCAGTGAGACTTTTAAGCAGGCTCCATGGATTTGTACCTCAATGTGGCTGGCTGTTCCATGTGCCTTTCTGTGTTGTGCCCCCAGTGCGGGGAGACTTCATGTGCTGCCACCACTCCCAGCACAATCATCACAACTGCTTTGGCTAGTTTCTGTGAGCAGAGTGTGACTGACATGTGAGGAAGCTAGAGGGTTAGGCTCTGGCAGAAGGGGGTGGTGGCTTTGGGTAGAGTAAACTAGCACAGGAATTCCTGCTCTGTATGTGGCAGAAGAGCTAGGGTTGAGTATGACTCCCAGTATTATAATTCTAATCTTTATTTTGGGGTGCTGAGGAGTGTTTGAACCATTTTTGTAATTAAACCAGACCTGGGTTGGTGTGTTATTAGCCATGACACAGACTATAGTAGTTTTCAGGGACATCAAGGCCAACAGGGTCAGGGTGTCTGCAGAGTGACCTCAGGCTATGATGGGGTGCTGAATTAATTACAACCCTACTACTGTTGTGCTCAATGCTTTGCTGCAGTCTATATCTGCAGTTAATAGTGTATATCAATTGCAGTCCCTTCAGTCACACATTTTATAATGGTAACAAAGGTTTCTGAGTTGGTTTGGGATTGCTCTTTATAAGTAATAAGTCACTTTTTGTTTCTGTGTGACAGGGTTTACCAATCCTGCACTGGGGCTGCAAGGTTAACCCTTGTTACCTGGCTGAGAAGACCTCACCCCCACAGCTCTGCTGTACATGCTGCAACTGGAGGCCAGCTTTAAAGGCCTGTGGAGCAGCTCAGCCTGGGCTGACTGCCACAGGGGAAGGAAGAGCAGTCGGAGCTCCTGAGGCAGAGTTACAGATGGACCTAGACATGGAGATCAGTCAGCAAGGAAAAGCCACTACTCTGGAGGAAAGTGTCAAGGGACTGCAATAGTGAACCTGGTAAGAAGTAGCCCAAGGCAGGGCATTACCTTCAGAGAGCTTAGTGTGTTTTGGTTGGATTTACCACATAGCTAGTGGTGGACTGCTCTACCACTGACAGGGCCATGGGCTGGGACCTGGTGGAAAGGTCCCTCTGCCCCATCAACCTGTTGTTGTTGACTGTGGGTGCTAGGCTCCTGCCACCCTGAAGGAAGAAAGGGTGCTTACTGACTCTGTCTGCTAGGCCATGCTGCCCTGCGTAAAGGGGCATTGTTGCTACTGACTGGACCCACCAGGCCCAGCTGCCTTGGGAAAGGGATGTGTTGATATTGACTCTGGTGTTTTGCCACACTGCCCTATGCAAAGGGTTTTTTTTTTCTGACTTGGTGACTGTAGTCAGTAGGCCCTGCTGCCTTGAAAGAAGGGATTGTTGTTATTAACTCTAGCTGATAGGCCACACTACCCTGAAGGCTGGGAGTGTTCCTATTGACTCAGGCTGCTAAGCTCCACTGCCCTCCGGGGAAGGAGTGTTATTGACTGTGGCTGCTAGACATGACTGCCTCACCATGAAGGGGTGTAGTTAGCTGGCCCTCGGGCTGTTGAACCTGATACATATGCAGGGTTGAGCATCCTTTGAGGGGACTTCAAGGCCTGATGCCCAAATCCTGAAGGGGACAGGTGGTCATCATGTGACATGCTGTTATCCTAAAAGATCTGTGTGAGGTCTAAAGGCCCGTCAGCATATAAGGGGTTAATGGGCTCTTGTCTATCATCTCTCTGATCAGGCTGGGTTATAAGAGGAAAGGGGAAGCTGCTAGAAAGGAAGCTACCATGGGGAAGGGTATGCTCTGTTCCCCTCCAGCTGACTCACTCGGGAAAAGTCATGGGTTATTACTAGCCAATAGACTAGGTTCTGATTGGGAGGGTGGGGGGTGGAAAGCAAGCCCTAAATGAAGGAATATGAAGAGAGTGACAGGTTTTTTTTCCTCTCTTTCCCAGCATCTCAGTCTTTGCACATTGGTTTATGACTGTCCCCTTGCAATGAATGCTCCATGAAACTTCTGCCTTTGTGGAGCCCAATGGAGTACAGTGAAGCTGTGTGGGGGCAAGGCTTTTCTGTATGACACTTGTGGCAGGACTTGGGCCTGTGTGTGTTAATATTTTAAAATCATCATTGTAACTGCAACTATAGATCCCCAACATCGGGGAGTGGGGAGAAATCAGCAAACAAATAACATAGCATTGTTTAGTTACTTCTGTAGCCTGGGTGATGGAAAGCTGGAGGTGCTGGCTTCCAGCCATGCTGATGACCCGTATGGGGTTTGTATTTCCAGGTGATGTGTGGGCTTCCTCATTGCTTGAAATCTTCTGCACAAGACTGGATTTTATATGTTATCTCAGCTTCAAAGTACTGGCCTTGATGTGAGAATTACCTGGTGAGGTTCTATCACATGGGTTATGCGAGAGGACAGACAAGGTACATTTCTGATCTAAAAATCATGAATAATCCTTCCATTCTAAAACTCAGAAGTATGTGACCACATTCAGAGGTGATGCAAGCTATGCACTGATAAATCTCTGAGACTGTGCATAACAAACTGACTGCCCTCTTAACTTGACCCGTCTGCTAGCTGCTTTTTGTGCTATACCGTAGTGTGTAAGTAATACCAGCTTACACTGCCTTTCAAGAACTTCCTCTGAGACACCTGGTTGTTACTTATACCACCATTTCACTCCTGAACTAGGGTTAGTCTGTCATTGCTTCTTCTTTCTCTGTTCTGTTGCTTTCTAATCATTAAATTGCTCAGGAGAATCCTATACTTCCCCAAGAGCTTTTGGAATAGTGTCATATTGTCATCTGGAAGATTCAGTGTTCCAAGTGGCACACCAGAGGGACAGACACATAATACTTGTAGTTAGAGTGAGATTTGTGCTAGTATTTCCACTCCTGCATTTAAAAAAAATCCCTAGAGAGTTCACACACAATTTTTCTGGACAGTGTTTTTCAGTAAAACTTGAAGGCAAACTAAGTTATCAAAACATGTTCAGCTCCTATAATAGCAGTTTTTTTTCTGGATTACAGTACACTTGTACCCTGATACTGCAGCAAATTATTTAGTTTCACCTTAAACACTCCTTTATCATTTAATTTTTCCCAAAGAGTCTATTTGTTTCCTTGTTTGTGAAAAGTGTGTAATTGTAGGTCTGTAATTCAACTTGTATTTAATCACTGTATCTGAAATGTCAGGCATGTTGTAAAGAGCACACTAGGCCAAAGATGTTAGAAGCTGCTGTTGATCTTAATTTGAGATAAAAGTTAGAGGTGCCAAAGTTGTGTCATGCCTGATCCCTACTGCATGGCTTCTGGGAATCAGGCATCTTCTGTGCAGCAACTCCTCACTTCTCTTACCAAAGTCATCAGGGAGGAAAGTGTGAAAGCGAAAGTGTTCAAAACAATTTCTGCTTCTTTAGACTATATGGCAATAGTTTTGTGTAAGAGATAACATGATTATGGAGGGCAAGCCAACTAAGCCTTACAGTGTCTAAACTAGGTTAGTAAGGCTAGTTTGTGCCCAGAGTAAGTGGATGAGGTCTGGGCACTGGAGAAGGAAGAAACTGGGAAGTCACACTGTGTGTGTTTTCCAACATGTTTAGCTAGGCCACTGGGGGTGATGAAATCAAGGCTCTCTACTTGCTGCATTCTGCCCAAAATGGAGGACTTAATTCTGAAGCGCTGCTTCCTTTTTCCTCAGATGGAGGAATAGCTGGCTTCTGTTTACTGGCAGTTCCAAAATGCTGAGAACTCAGTTTGGATTGAATTGGAGCAATTGGGGGAAATTTTGGGTTGAGCAAAACACTGTGTTCAACCTGACATTAAGCATATTGTGTTCAGGAATTTTTCACCTCTAATAAAAGCAAAAAGCTGCACAGACAGTAGGCCTGTAGTGAGGCCACCCATCTGGCATGGGTGAGACCTAGGTTTGATTCCCTGCACTGATACAAGGATTTGATCCTACATCTCTTGGGTGAATGCCCTACAACACCAGGATAGTCAACAGCTGGTGGGTTTTTTCCCCCTCAATGTGTGCTGTTGAAGCTGCTCCTCTTGGTATGAATAAAAAAAATTGAGCTAGAGTGACTGAGAGGTTAGGACTCTCAGCTGGGAGGAGGAACACCCGGGTTTCAATACCTACTCCACTGACTATAAAAAGTGGAACCGCTTCCACAGGAGACACTGAAAGCTCTTCCCTTTCTCCCCCCCACCCCCAGGAAAGTGAGTAAAATTTCAGTAACAACTTCAGGGTTTAAAGGACAATCCTGCAGATTGTAAGTTTCTTCTGAGAGGTTTAAAGCATCCTCAGCTGACTTTCTCTCCCAATAGAAGCTTTTGAGCACACTTGGCACCTCTCAGAATATAATCCTATAAAGATTTGATTCAAAACAGCTGATACTAGCACTATTTTTCTTCCAGCTTTCTTAATAACATATAGACTTCTATTAAAACTGAAGTAATCTTCATCTTCTATCATAGTATCAGACAAAATTTGGCTGCTAAGGTGTCTTGGAATCTGTGAGTATATGAAATGTGATGGCATGAATAAGATTAATTCAATGCTTGAATGATTGTAGTAGTCACTGTTCTAGCATGACTGTTCCAATACTGAGAATGAGTTCCAAATATCCATTACTTTGTTATAATTTCAGGCTTGACCGTGAGTAGAAAGTGTAGGTCTTTCCCTCATCATTAAACTTCTCCAAAGGCCATTGATACCAGGCAAGGAGATGTGACATCAGAAGGGTATGGAGGGGATGGGGACAAAAACCCAACAATCCAAGAGAATGAGACTGTAAATTTATTTTTGGTTGTCTCTGCATTACTGATTGATATTGTACAGCAGCAGAAGGTTGAAACAAGTTACCCCAGGGTATTTGATGTTCTCTGTCCTTTCTCAAGGAAAAAGCAGCTGGAACTGACATCCTACTTTGAATTTATTTACTAACTGCTCATTATTTTTACCTACAAGGTTTACTCAAGCATGTGAGGAAAAATAAAATATAGCCTAATGAAAGGACAAACATTTGTCCTCCATTGTAAAGTAGTTTGCAATGTGTTTTTGAATGGCATTTCCATGTCTTAATTTTCTGACTGAATAGTCTCTATTTCAGCTGCTTGTCAGGTTCTGTGAGGTGGTAGCTATTATAGCCTATAGGACTAACCTGCTTGCTTGCTTATGGGTTTGATTATGTTTATTATAATTTACTGTAGGTTTATATTAGCGGTTTGGTTGTAACGCAGGGGACGCACAGGCCATGTCCTGTATGTTGAGCTAAGACAAAGCTAGCATACACATGCTTGGGACCTTTCACCCACATAGAAAAGTCAATGCTCATATATTTGGGACCTTTCATCTAGACAAAGCAATCTTCAAGGGTATAGAGGCTTCTCAGAATACCCTCAAACTTAGCAGGTACATCACTTCTTAGGAAAAGTCAAAATAATTGGTTAAGGAATAATCATGTAGAACAGAAATAATAAATGTGACAGACAACCACAAAAGGCCCATGATAATGAATTGATGTGTATAAGCTGAGATCAATGATATACTAACCTATAGGAAAAAGACACTTCACAATTAGTAAGGTGAGGAAATATAAATAAGGAGAAAAGGAAACATCTCCTACTGAACATGTATCCAACATAACATATTATAAAAGTGGCAACCAAGTCTAGGGATGGTAGGAGAAAAGAGATGTAGTCCTTGCGAAGTATCAGAATGATAGCTACTGGTGATGGTTAACACTTCAGGTAGTTCTACAAGGAATGGTGTGAGTCTATGGAAATATAGATGTACATTTCCTATGTTGGGATGTTTGTGACGGTTTGCTAAATGTATTAAACTATATTTGTAAATGTGCAACAGTTCCTATAGTGTGTGTTGCAACTGTGCACATTAGGGTTCCCAAGTATAGAATAACCAAAACAGGGCCTGATCCTGGGACACAGGAACTGTCAACCCTACAGGTGGTAACTACTTATGAATTTCTGATCTAAGATTTGGCAACACTGGCCATTTGGGGGAGTCCTCTCTCCTACTTCCTCAGCGCCCATTGTAGTTTCTCCTTGGTGCACTGGAATTATTCCTTTGTATTAATGAAACTGCCACAAATGGTAAGCACTCTGCCTTCATTGTAAACTCATCTTGCTGGGCACGGGAACAAGTCCAGGACTGGGGATTATAATCTGGTCCTCTGCATGGCAGCAAAGAGTATTTATCTCTAGTTACAGATGCAGAGTGGGTGTGGTACCAGGTCTGATCTTCATTCTGTTATTTCTCATGGCAAATAAACCATTTTAAAAAGGGCTTACACTAAAATGGTTGTGCTGGTGTGTGGCTGGCACAGAAGTCTGTTTAAACACTGTAGCAAAAATCACTTAAAAAAATACTGAGTTCATATTAAAAATATTTTTCTCACATGGTAGTATAACAGGCCAGAACCCTCACTATTATAAATAGATGCATCTCCAGTGCATCAGTGGAGCAATGCTCATTTACACAAGCTAAGAGTTGCACTGTTGTACAGATGAGACTTTGGAAGTAAAGGTGGTTGTGTGGGGGGGTGTTTTTATTCCAGTCACAGGTGGACAGGAATGAACATGCTATCTCTTTAAATGGAAATGCTGTACTGCTTTATTATGCTGGTTAACTGACGTTTTCTCTTGGAAAAGAAATGAGTAATCTGGACACACATGAGACCTTTGACTGCAATCACAGTAAGTGCTTGTGGTTTCTGACCCTGGAGCTATAACCAGCTGCATCTGCTACTTGAGCACGATATGACGGGAGCAATTATGTACTAGCCCTCTATGTAATGGTCAATCTAATGACCACTCACAAGGAATATTACAATTTTAGCCTATGATACCATGTTGTAAAATGGGCAGGAAACATTGGCTTTGTTTGCTGTTATGTTCAATGAACTGTGAAATCATTAGCCACAAATTGTCCCTTTTAGCCAGGCAGAAAGTTGAGAATTCCTTATCCATTGTTTGTCCTTCTACTTGCTCTGTTAGACTTTTTAAGCAATGCATTTGGATCTGATACCCTAAAACTCCCACAAACTTGTTTTTACCAATGGTCAACACAGAGCTCGGGAGCCTTTTTGGAATGTAAATGTTATGAAGTAACAATGTGTTTTTGTTTGTTTGTTTGTTTGTTTTTTAAGCAGGAAGTGAGGTGTTAACAGGGTTTGCTGCTGATAGCCAGATAATAGAAGTTAGAGAGAAGGCCCATATTGTTAGTCAACTGATTCCTATTCCAAATATAAATAGTGGCGTGCAAAGCTCTCATCTGGATCCTGTTTCAAACTCTTCCTTCAAAATGTAGAAGCATTAAGATCTAAGACCTCAAATGAGATTAAACTCTCGGTAAATGTGAACTGGAGTAATTTGAGGCAGAATCAAACCTGGGACCCATG